ATTCTTGATGTTCCCTTTGACCTCCTTCTTTCCCAGGGCAAGCATTGTTTATCACTGTTTGTAAGTCATTACCTCTCCACACATCTCTTTATGTAGATGCTGTAAGACCATGCAAATAAGTGATATGTCATAAATAAGATAAAGAATATGAGAATTGTCACTGAAGAATTTGGTTCATGTCATTGCATATCAGAAACATCCTCAAGTAACAGTACAGCCTTCATGCTGCTGGTATGTTGCTGTTTTCACAGGAAAAGCATAAAATTTTTATATTATTTTTTATCTCATATTCTCAAGGATGTATCTGTTCGTTTTGTTACTATAGTGAATACTTCTCATTTTATATGCAGGTTGCAGGTTTTGTAATCCATCTTGGGCTCAAGAATACAGTGCTAGATTGCTTTGCACTAGCGATTCTAAACCACGTTTTACAGTGGCATTTTCATACTTGTTCAGGACTCTTCTGTCTGAAGCTGGGGATGTGGGTATAGTCATAAATGAAGCTTGCCTGTGAACTTAGTCAGCACCATAGCTGCTGCTGTGTATGATCATACTGCATAATTAAATCCTCTTTTTAATTCAAGTGAAGTGAAAAGTAGTTGCATCCTAATATTAAAAAAGCCCTCAGCTCAATGCACCCAAAACCCAGCAACAACAATGAGGGAGGGGAAAAAAAAAAACACCACCACCCAAAAACCAAACCAAAACAAACCCCAGAAAGTTCACTTTCATTTAGTGCATACTCCATAATGACATTATTTGTTGGTTTTATAGAGACCATTTCAATGAATGAAGGGTTTCTTAGGCTGTATAGTAAACTTGAGATGGAGCAGGTCTCAGAGAAATTGCTCTGAATACAGTGGCTTCTAAAATGTCTTGGAGTTCCTGTCCCTGCTGCTGGCATGTTGGTAGGGCAAGCTTCATGGCTTCATTAGTTGAAGCATATCTTCATATTTTTATGAATCCTGTGTAGAATACACAGTCAGCATCAGATGAGGCTTTAAGTAGCTGCTGCCATCAGAAATTCTTTTCAAACTTTAATTTCTACTCCAAATTCATAGATGGGCCATAGTGGGGCTTTTGCTGCCAGAACAGACAGTGTCAGTACACTTGAGAGGTGAGGGGGAACAGACTGGGGACAGCATGTGTTACTGGCACCAACAGTAGCTATCTCCACTGGCTCCTATTTTCTCCTCTGGCTAGTAAACCTTGCACTAGACTGTGGAAGTACTTTATATTAGTGCTGTGGGATCCAGCCTGGTTGGGCCTGGAGATAGACTTGGGAAGCAAAACTGAAACTTGGGACTTTAGAGGAGTGGTTGATGTGGAGCTTCTCTAGAACTTGCTGTTGCACGATGCAGTCCTGAAGAACAATGATGATTAATGTCCTTGCACTGTGCAGTCTAGCTGTGCTGTACTGACTTTGGAATTAAGTGTGGTTAGAGCCACATCAGGGAAAAAAAAAAAAAAAAAAATTGCTGCTCATCAGTGGTAAGTTACTGTCTTCAGCACAGCTGAACAGCTCATACTTACTTTCAGTGTGCTTCTTGCCATGATTTAGGAGCTTGATCAGTGGCTCAGTTGGTAGGCACCCACTGCATATAGTTACCAGTGTCTGCAGAAGAGTTTAAGAAGCCAGCGTGTTATAATGAGCTTAACTTGTTTGCAGTGGCTGCAAACAGACATGTAATGAACTGCAGTTGAATTACAGTGACCACTGGGGTTGCAATTCTTGGCAAGATATTTTCTGAGGAAGCAAATGGTCCTGCTCCAGTGCGGGCTGCTAATCCTGCTTGTCTTCTGTTTCAGAAAGACTGAAGGAAAAGTATTCATTGGACGTGCTGAGGGTTTATTCGTCCAAATGATTTAGACTGAAAGTGTATTTTACTTTTCCTTCTCTTGTAACACACAAACTGATCATATCCCCTTAATGTGAAGACACTGTTGTTAGCATGAAGTTGCTCTCAAGGCACTAGTATGGTAAACCAAAATATTATAAAATATTTAGAGCAATTATTCCTTAAAAATTTTTCCTTAAAATTGATACCAAGTTTAGGATGATCTTGCATATCAAAATATCAAATTCTACAAATCTAGAGAGGAAAACTTAAATGTGTTCGATAACTTATTTAAATGTTGTATTTGATTTAGATGCTGATACGAGTGAAGACTCCTCTCCCCCACTCCCAGAAAGAACACCAGAATCATTTGTATTAGCAAGTGAACAGAGTGAGTTCTTAATATTTTGGGATAATGGGATATAAAATGTAAAATGCATTTCAGTATTGTATTTGAATGCCCCTGCTCTTTGGCTTATCTTAAAGTGTAGGAGCAAGTTGTAAAATGGGATGAAATTGAGCATGTGCAATGGGTGATTCTGAGATTTAACTTTCACAAGCCCTTGAACACAAATGACTTCTCATTTTCTGACCAGGCATGCTGTTACATGATATTGAATTCTACTGGAGACTTCAGTATTGGTTTTAGTGGAGCTGGTTTTCCATCTGAAGGGTGTGGAAGTGCAATACTGTGGGGAAACGCAGTACGGTTTGCGGATTATTTTTCTGCTATTTTTTTATTTACCTGCTCCCAGGTAGGGAATGGAAGAACAGAGGAGCAGTGCTTATCCAATTCTCCTTTAGTGGGCAAAGGAAAGATAATGACACTTCATACTGCACTACATCTAATGAGCAAGCCCAGTTTAAGTTTAACGTAGTTTACTCTCTGCCTATATCAGTGGTAACTGAAAGAGAAAGCTGACACTTAATGATGTGCTTCTAGCTTCATATTTCATTCATTAAGCCAGTAATGGCAGAAAACAAAAAAGATTAACTGAAATAAAGTGGTAAGTTAGGGTTTTTTTGTTATTTTCCAAAAAATGTAGTGTGATGTAGTTATTTACTGAGGCTTTTGTTTAATGTCACTTGTGAAACTGAAAAATATTTGGTGAAGGTATTTTTCAGCATAAAAACGTGGAAGTTCTCTAAATACGTCCCTTGAACATCTTAAGCATAGGTAGTGCAGAGTCGAAGTGATCCTCTTTTTGGATATTATGGTCTTTTCTGTGATAATACAAGAAACAAAACTTTTTCTTAAACAAAAAAATCTGGTTGGAACTGGAATCACTAAGAATACATCATTTTTGATTGTGCTTTTGCATGATGTCAGTAAAGGACAGGTATGGCTGTCCTGACTTGTGTGTTTTCTTTACTTAATATGTCTTTATCAGATCTACTTTTATTGCACAGCTGATGTAACAAAATTTTAAAAACCTCACTGAAGAAGAAGCTATTTCTCCTGTTGGTCAGGAACCCCCAAATGAAGAAAATGAACAACCACAATGCAGTCTTGTGTTTTGAACTGGGCTATAGAGTTTTCCCTTATCTTCAATGCCCTTCGTGTGAAGAGAGATTAATGTTTTTAGAAGCATTTGATTTTTAAGAAGTTGCTTTATAGCACATTTCTAAAGCTGTGTTCTAATGCCTTATCATGGAGAGAAGTCAAGTGTGTTGAGTTGGATTTAATTTTTCCTAGGCACACCCTTGCTGAAGCCAGTTATGATTGCACAGTCTGAGTGGAGCATATTGCAAGATCGGCATCTCCCTGAACAAACAGTCTCTACAGTAAGTATAGGAGACAAGTCTGTACTAATCAGTCATTTCTAGTTTGGCTGGGAGCTGCAACAAAAAGCAAAATACATACTTGTGAAAAGTTCCACCTGTTGATCATCTACAACTAGCCAGCTTTTCCTCTGCTGAGCTGCTGAACTGATGCCTTAAGAGCATGTTTTCTTTCCAAGAAGACTAGCATGTTTTCCAAGCTCACAAATACTTGTACAAGTCATCACTAATATCCTTTAAAATATGGCTTTAGGAGTGTAAATGTGCTGCTTTTAAGGAGTTTGCTCTCTGCCCTTAGTGAAGCATGGGCTAGTTCAAGCTGAAGGAGAATCTCTAGTCTAACCTGGTGTGTGAAGTGGGCACTTGGACCAGGCTGCTCAGGGCTTTATCCAGTTGGGTCTTGAAAACCTCCAGAGATGGAGACTTCACCTCCTCTGTGGGCAGTCTGTTCCACTGCCTGATAAAGTTTTCCTTTATATCTGTAATTATTTTAAACAAACACTTTTCTGTCCATCAGAGTGCAGTTTTTCACATCAGTCTACTGGTTGCTCAAAGTCATCCAGCAGAAAGAGCAGACACCATGTCAGAGCTGTATATATCCTGTTTACATTCATGCCTCTTTTTCATGCACCCCAGTACATTTTACAGCCAGCTTCACCCACTACTTAAAAATGTGACCAAAAAAAGACAGATGACTGTTTTTGGGGACTACAAATCTAGTATGAGAACTAATATACCTAATTTTGCAAATAGTTTGTAAACGTTACAATTTTAATTTTTTATTAAATATTAAGTAAGGTTCTGATAGTAAATTCTTAACTACTTGTAGTAATTTTTGTCAGTGTTATAGCAAGACAAATGTAGGAACAAGTATCCATATTTCTGTGGATGTTGTGTATTTCTTGAAGATGTTTTCACCATCTTAAATTTATGGTGTTCTTGTAGTATTTTGAAAACATTTTATAGAATTATTTTCAATATTTCTCTTTAACAGGGTTTGAAAACAACTTCACCTATACTAACTGGTAAGTGATGGAAATTATTTTTCTTTTCTTTCCAAAATACATTTTTCCTGATGAACAAAAATTTGCCTAAACTTGGATTGAGCTCTGAAGATATCCAAGTATATCATCCAAACATTTCTGGCATTTATGAAAAGGCCTTTGGTTTTTAAAACTTCTAAGGTTTTCTGAGGAAGCAAGTTACAAGTCTAATTTAAAAATCAATGTTAAAATTTGGGTATGCTAAAATAATGAATACCAAAAATATTGAATTTAAATACATATTGTAAAAACAATATTTTTTTCAGCTTAATTAGAACCTTTCCATGTTACTGCAATGAAAATTGTAACAGCTGGTGAATTAATTTCTTTAGTTCCATAAAGACAAGAGTAAACCTGAGTTAAGCTCAACAGTGATTTATGTGTATGTATGCTGCATACTTAGCAAAATCTTTAATTTTGTTTTTTTTTTTCTGAAAAGGCTTCAGTAAGAAGTGTAGCCTGTCAGCTGATGTTTAACTCTGCAGCAGCCTGCTTCACCTGTAAGCTTGTGGCTGCCATGATCTCCTGCGCATGCTTAAATGGGCTTGTGCAGTCTGGTTGGAGCTACATGTGAAATAAATGTAGATTTCTAAGAATTTTCAGAAGTATTGTGGTTTTGTTAATAGGGTGATTTTACAAGTAATGCAACACATAGTTTACCTGTCATGTCTTTTAAAGTAGCCTGATTAAGAAAGAACATGAACAGATGCATTTATACTGCTGTATTAAATCATACTGTGAGCTCTTGCTATAAATAGGAGCTGCATGGGATTTTAAATATCCACACAAACTTTAAAAAAACATAATAAACTATTCTGTGAACAAGAGTGTGTCACCATCATTGAGCATCTGCTGCATACATAATTTTGAAGTATGTTTTTAAGAAATGAGAAATTGGTGCTTTTTATTTTTACAGCTAGTATTTGAAGTAATCTGTGTTCTGAAGGGATCTGTACTTCAAACCAGTGTTCTCCCAGAGCTGCCTAAATGAATGTGACAGTAAAGGTGGGGGGTGTGTGTGTCTGTTTTCCAGATCGTCCCGAAAGAAGCAACAAAACACCAACTGACATTTTACCTCAGATTTCTTTTTCTGGCTCCACTGATGCAAGAGGTCAAATTTCAGAATTTCCTGCAGAAGTAACAGATATTGGTAATTACAGTTCATTCAAAACATCACTAGATGATTTAAACAGAAGATTAACCTGCCTTGTCTCGTCAGCATTGCTGAAAGTTTTTTCCCCAGTATGAGCAGATCAATCATTCCTCACTTTGGTTTTTCAGAGTGTATGAAATGCACAGTTAGTCAAATGAGAGAGAATGTTTGTAGACCACTGAAAACTTTCGGAAGTAAAACCTAAAAAAAACTGCTTTGCTATGCAGAGAAGAAAAAAATTATAATAAAAGGTGTAATAATGTATTTACTTAAAAAGTACTTTCCAAGTGAGGCTTAAATAATGAATTATAATTATATACAGATTCTTCATGTTTGTATTTCCTGTGGCCATAGTGCCTTTACAACTCCTAATACTACTAAGTTGTTTTCTAGCCCTGAAAATAAACCTTTTCCTTAGAGTGGGAGCATGTCTTAGAGTGATCCTTCCGATTGCTGCCAACATTAGTGATACTGTGTTGTCTGAGTGGACAAAAGTATTTAATGCATTTCTTTCCTTAGGTTTTGGTAACCGCTGTGGAAAGCCCAGAGGACCAAGAGAGCCACCTTCAGAATGGACATGATCCAAGAACCAATGGACACACTCTCAATAAATTATACTGGAAAACTCAAGTGCCACTGAGAACTAGAAAAATAGTATTCCACTTTTCTGGGGGCAGACTAACACAGAGCAGTGTAGACCCACTACCAAATGGTACACTCTTGCAGGACATCCCACGCCAAACCTTAAACCTTGTTCATGACAGTGGATTCCAGTATTACAGCGCAACTTTTTGCTGGGGCCATCTACCTGCCTTATTACACTTAGGAGAAAGTATTACATATGATTTATTTTGTAACTTCAAGTATTATTGCCTTAATGTCTTTTAACCCTGTTACACGCTGCTTGTAGACATATGTTAATATAGTACTACTTTTGACAGATTGTGTTTATGGACTACTTTTTGCTAACGTTTGATTACCATGTATGCATTATTTTGTATATGTACAGGGCAAGTAAGTATATAATTTGATAAAGTTGCAATCATAAAATATTAACAGAAGATGTAAGAAATCTCTGCATGTTCTAAATTTTTGTGTACCTTATTTGTAAATTATTTGCCCTGAAGTTTTAGAAAATAGTTTCTGGGGTTTTTTACAAACATTGCTGGAGACACAGCCAGAATTGCGGGTTAGCAGAGATAAAGATTGTAATACATTTTGTAAATTGTAAGCAAAAGGTTATTTTTATATTATATGCTGTTTAATTGTCGGACCTAATTTGTTCTGGTTTTCATCTAGTCATGGAGATTCAGTAAGTGCCTTGGAACAGTATTGATTTCTCTTAGCCTGTGTATGTTACTTCAGTGTTTTGAGTTCATCTGGAATTAGATTATCAAAAATATTTGTACGTTTCTAGCCTATTTGACCTGCCAGTAAAAGAGAAACCATTCTACATAGTCAACACTCCTTAGTTTTCATTTTCATGTTTCATCGGTTGCAATCTTTAGAAAATTCATCTCTATCAACTTTCTGTATAATAGGATTTTACAGTTTTAATATGATGTGTTTCTAATTTGGGGAAACCAGAACACACTGGTAAAAGGACTGTTTAAATACCACTGTCTTCTCCTACAAATGGTTAATACCATTTTTGTTGTTCAGCGACTGTGTATGTAAGAAAGCAACTTATATGAAGGTTCACACAGAGCCCTTGCAGCTACACTGTATCTTGGCAATATATTATGTCAAGAGTTAATCCTTATAAGGATTCCTTACTTAAACTTTTCTGTAATACAATCTTTAAATTAAAGAAAGTCAAAATCTCACTTTGGGTGTTTTTACTCTTGGGGGAAAAAAACCTGTATTCAGAAGCAAACTGAAATAAAGTGAAGGATGGCAGTCTGGTCTGGCTTAGCTTGTAGGTCTTGTACTTGAACAAAACAGTCATCCTTGGGACCTTATTTTTTTAGAACTATATTAAAAGTTCTGGCTAGCAATAATGTCAGATAAATGAGGAAGGATGTTTAGAGGAAAAACCATTTATTTCAGGTAGTGAAACTATCTATTAATTTGAACGTTAGCCACAGAAACATTACGTTTAATTTACTACTTGTACCTTTAGTGCCTCTCTGCTGAAAGAGAGCTAATGCCCAGAGAGCAGCCCTGTTACAGCTTCCAGCAGGTACAGAACTTGCCATTGCTGTCTTTGACTGTGGATTGATCACCCTACGCAGGGCAGACGGCCTCGCTGGGGAGCCCTTTTAAACAACTGTCCACACTATAAATACTCAGCTCCCCATGCATAGAGTTTTGCAATTATTCTTTTAAAAATAAATAATCCAAGGATATATGCCATTTGGGATAACCTATATCAACCAGATTCCTGCTTTGTAAACAGTTCAGACAGCTGGAATGTCTTGCAGTTGGCAGGATAAAGTTGGCCTGAACTTTGTTCCCTTCCCCTGTGTTGAAGACGATTCCCTTGGACTTTCACGGACCTCCTGCCGTTTGTAATGCACGTCAGGCTGTCATCACCACCAGACAGCCCAAACCATTGTAACTTGGAAATAACTCTTAAATAGGAACATTTCCAAATATGTTTTGGATGTACTTTTTAAAGGTCATTTCCATATTTCTCTACCAAGAAAGCAGAACTGGAGGTTGTAGATTTTCCACTTTCCACATTCAAATGTCACTTAGAGCAAAGGCTGACAAAAATCTGTGCTCTATATACAGGCCATGTGGTGAAGTTGAATTAAAGTACATCCAGGTTCATATTTTTTACCTTAGATTTCTATGGATTTGGGTAGTATTCCAGACCGAGGTAATCACAGAAAATTCTTTGCCTTTTTTTGCTTTAGCTATATGAAAATGCAGTTGGATTTCTGTATCTTCTGACAGACCTGTTTTACAATCCACTGTTGCCTATTTATATTTGTCTCAATTTTTTTATATTGTCCCTTGTTTTATTTCAGGTAAACTGACAGTTTTAAGTGCAAGGTACAATGTACCCAGTGTCATTAGTTCCTGTACCCACTCTTGTGGATAGTACAGAGATAAGTGCAGGGTTAGATGCTGTATGCGGGATAGTTTCATACCATAACTTTGAAATATTACCCAGTCTTAACAGCTTCTTCAAAAACCAAGACCTTTCTTTGCTGTGGATTATTTTAAATAAATCTAAGGGGATTCAGAATATTACATTAGTTTGCAAATTATCACTGAGTACAGATCTAGACTAAATAATTTTATACAAATATTGAAATTGGGCATGGAATAGTTTTTCCTTTCATTTTGCTTGAGTCTTTCATGTTATTTTTTGCAAAAGCAGTCTTCAACTTCAGTCTTTCCAGTGCAGTTTTTATCAGGCATACAACTGACTTGATCACTACAACAAAGAACCAGTAATTCTTACTAATAACCACTGCATTGGCTTGTTTGTTCCTTCAGTATATTTCTAGTATTCCATTAATTAAGTTTTCTAAATGCATTAATATTGAACAAATGCAGTAAATTATCATGAGTTCTCCAGGTCTTACAAATGTAAATACTCAATTTTCAGAAGTAGGTTGACCTCTATTAATACCATTGCTCATCTCTATTTTGTAGCATATTTTAGGCTTTGTATTGATTTGGCAGGTAGCTTTCTACTTTTTGGTAATTAGAGCATTACTTTAGAGTTTTTGTTTCTTATTTACTTGTTAAGAAAGCTGGCTGCATTTACATGTAGTTTTCCTTAAAAATTTGTAATTTGGGAACCGTGCAGAACAATGAAAAATCTGAAAGAATTTCAGAATTTCAAATCTGGGTGTTTATATATTGAAATGTTGGACTGGGATTCTTTGGAGACAAATTTCTTGAAGAATGACTGCAGATCAAGTGTGACACAGTGACTAGGCAGCATGATAACCCCGTGCTGCTGGAGTCACTGCTTTCAGCTGTAGAGCATACTGTCTTTAAGCAAAGTCTACTGACAATGGAGTACTAAAATACTTGCATTTGAGAACTAAACTGTGTTTGGTTGTAATTCCCATAGTGCCACGTAGCACTTGGTATGAAGCGGTGACATGCTTTAATCTATAGTAAGTACAGTTCTGTGTTTCTGATAGAGTATTGTTACTACTGCTGGTTTATTTCAGGGTTACTTAGCACAATAATGTATCTCCTCTTTCACTGTGCTTTTCACATCCTTGATGATACTGTGCTGTTGGTGACAGCGGTTTCTCCTGTGCTCTCTGGTGGGTGTGGGAGGAGGGTTCTACAGCAGTTAAAGCCACTTTCATCCAAGTTGAGCGGCAGCTTTGGGCTGCAGAGGAAGAGCTGGGCCATGGCTCTGTCTCAGGGCACCTGCTCTTCCATCTAACTGAGGACTGAGAAGATGGTTGTAAGGAGGATGGTTGTGAGGCAGAACTGACATTAGGGAGGCTCTGTACAGCCTGGACGGTGCCAGGCAGACCACCCACAGTCTGGCTGTAGCCTGTCATAATTTAGTCAGTTGCTGATTGGTGTATCTGCTTAACATAAGATGGTTAAGATGTTCCAAGACAATCATCGGAACAATTACAGTTGTTGAAGCAAGGGAATAACCAGGTAAAAAGCAAAGAGCATGAGTGGCACCCAGGGAAAGAAACAATGTAAAAATTGCTCTTTTATTATTGTGATATTCAGTCTGAAAATATTCTCTCCACCGCTAGATCACAGAAGAAACGAGAGCTCAGCCTTAGACTTCCTGGCTGGAAGGAGGGACTGGACTGTCAGCGTACACAAGAGTAAACTGCGAACCAGACCGTGTTTCTCCCAGTCTGATTTGGCCCATTCAGGGTTAAGAGAAGCTTGCAAACACTGGCAAGGCTATCCTAAGGTATAATGACCCCGACGTAAAGGCTATTTTGTTATTTTCATCTGTGCCAATTTGTACTTACGGTGGGGGAATAAAAGAATAAAGAACTTTGAAAACGTAATGTGAGTTTAGTAACTGATTTGCTGGCTGTCAGAGCACTGGAGTGAAAGGGCTTGCGTGTTGTGAAGTCAGCAGGAGCAGTAGCAGTGGTGAGAAAGGAAGAAAAAATCTCTCTGAGATCCAGTCAGAGTAGCTGAATGACACTTCTGAGCGGGAAGGACAGAAAGCCAGGATTGCTGCAGCACAAGGGCTGCCAAAGATCAGTTTGAACCTTAAAACATAAAATAGTTTGAACAAGTCACAGTAAGTAGTTATTAACACAAACTGGCTTTATAATGCAGTAAATTTTTTCAGCTGATGAACTGAAGTTTGAACACAATATTTCTGTGGTAAATATTACCCAGAGGAAAACCAGTGCCTCGTAGGCAATGATAAATGCACAGCTGTAACTGGAATTTGTTGCAGTCAAACTGAATTTGTCTGACTAGCTGAGTAACTATGTACTTACGTGGTTATAACTGAAAAGTATTTTCTTCCTTCTCTCCCATCCTGGGAATATTTGAAGGTCAATAAACTGAACTGGTAACAGTCATACTTAAGTATACAGTGCCTCGCAGACTACTAATGTGCTTCACTGACCCTGTTAACAGGGGCTTGTGAAGCAGAGTAGCTCTGTCATCTTGTCCAGGAGCTCGGTCATGCCAGAGAATCCAGTTCCCCTGTGCCATTGCTGTCTGCCTGGGCACACAGTGTCACCAGGAGCTGCCCCTGCCCTGGTTCTGGTTCTTCCAGGGATGATCACAGCTCTCTTCCTCCCACCTTCTCTACTGACTCAGCATTTAGGTATGAGGTTCTTCAGGAGGATCA